AAAAAAAAAAAAAAAAAAAAAAAAAAAAAAAAAAACTTCATAAACAAATGAGAATTTCTAGAAAAGTTTAAGTAATAGCTATTATAGTACTAAATCAAGTCTATAACCAATATAATAGATCCTACAGTTTAGTGAAACTTCCTTTAATTTTCTTTTCAATTGCATTACACATGATTTCAAATAATTTTCATGATAAAATATTTAAATGAGCCATATATTTTCCTAAATACAAATTGTTAAAGATGTTTCCTCAGTGTTTTAAAATCAACACATCTAATTATTCTTTTTCTTTTCCCTTGTCTAGCTTTTGAGTATTTCTAAATAAACACAGAACAAATTTATACTGAGTATTCTCATATTGTGTTCCTTTCCAACACCCAGTATTGTTGATGGATTATATCACAGTTCTTACATGTCACATTTCTATTTATACTTGGCAGGGTCATACTGACTTTTTTTTAAGAGTTCTTATTTAACTTGTGGTCAAATATGACTCTAAGATCTTTTTTTGTTGTTGTTGTGCTGTTAATAATTCTGCTTTTAGGGCTGGGTGTGCTGGCTCATGCCTGTAATCCTAGCACTCTTAAAAAGCCCAGGTGAGTAGATCACTTGAGGACAGGAGCTCGAGACCAGCCTGGCCAAACAGTGAAACCCTGTCTCTACTAAAAATACAAAAAATTAGCCAGGCATGGTGGTGCACACCTGTAATCCCAGCTACTCAGGAGGCTGAGGAACAAGAATAGCTTGAGCTCAGGAGGTGGAGGTTGCAGTGAGCAGATCATGTCATTGCACTCCAGCTTGGGTGACAGAGCGAGACTGTCTTAAAAAAAAAAAAAAAAACTTTTTTTCAATTAAAAAAATCTGCATTTAGGTAATTCATTTTTTCACCCATTTGAAAATCAGCTTTCATCCAGGAGGGTCATTTTAAAAATTGACTCTTATTTTCTGTAAATGCCAGGTGCCCTAATCTACTGTCTCTTAGAAACAATATAAATATCTTCTTGAGTCTATAAGTATTACTCACTACTTATCCTTGGGACCCTGCTATAGAAACTTCAGCTGATACAAAACCACCAATCATTACTGTATAGTTTGGGACAACTCAACCAATCAATAGTATATTTTAAATCATATTTCTCTAATCTGTGGATGAAAATTTTATCTGAAATGGAATTTAAAAAAAAAAAGATCAGAGCCGGGCGCGGTGGCTCAAGCCTGTAATCCCAGCACTTTGGGAGGCCGAGGCGGGTGGATCACGAGGTCAAGAGATCGAGACCATCCTGGTCAACATGGTGAAACCCCGTCTCTACTAAAAATACAAAAAATTAGCTGGGCATGGTGGTGCGTGCCTGTAATCCCAGCTACTCAGGAGGCTGAGGCAGGAGAATTGACTGAACCCAGGAGGCGGAGGTTGCGGAGAGCCGAGATCGCGCCATTGCACTCCAGCCTGGGTAACATGCGTGAAACTCCGTCTCAAAAAAAAAAAAAAAAAAGATCAGAAATGGAATTTTTTTCTTTTTTTAAAAGAAATGCTTGATATAGTCCTACATATCTACTGCAGGTCTTTAGACTCATTATCAAAGAAAGAAATTATATGTTTTAAAGTTATTATCTCTTATAACAACGTAGTTTGGGGGCTATATAACTAAATGTGGCACAGTGAGAAATGGCTGACAGCAATTGAGTTTTATAAAACATCCCTAGACTCAAGAAGGAACTAAAATGAAGAAATAAGCAAGCAAACAGGCAAAGGTTAAAAAGTGTCAGAAAAACCTGCAATTTTTTCTAGCATGGCTGAGTTCCTGGCTTAAATAGATAACCAAGAAGAAATTCAAGAATACACCTGACATTCTGACTACAAAGTTGACTAGGAAGAATTAAAGTAGTTCTATGCTTGGTTGTTGATGCCTTGACAGTAATTAAATAATTGAAAATAGAAGAGAGGGGGAAAATGGAGATGGTAGGGATGAATAGTGGCAACTAGATAAAGCAATGATTTGACTGGTAAAGAGCAGATGCTGATGGTAAAGAAGATACCCAGAAACAAAATACAGCAGGAAAAGCAACTTGAAAGCATCATGGGGGAGACAGGAGGCAAATATACACTTACTTTAAAAAAGTCCAAATCCCAAAAACAGTAGTGCAAATGAGGAAGTGCTAAAATATCTTTAAAGAAGATTGGGAGTGGGCAAATAAGTGGCAAAATGATTATTAAAACAAATCTGACTGCTTAACACTGCTTCCAAAATAGTTCACTCATAAAAACCTACAACATTTTTTAGACTCATGTAGATGTATTAATTACATCACTACCTTTGCATATCATTTTAACAAAATAAAATACTGCATAGAAAACATATATATAGATACAGATGCTTACTTGTATGGTTTCTGTGGCAAGATGCTGATCCGAGTCTTGTCGAGTATCTTTTTCAGCTTGTTCCTTCCTCCAACAGTGTTGGCTTTACTTTTTTTGTTCACTTTTTCAAGTCCTATCACCTGTTCTACATCTACAGCAAGATCTGGAATGGAGTAGCGACTGGCCTTTTTGATGTCACCAATTTTAGGAAGGTGGGGGGCACCATTTCTTTTCTCTTCTGACAACCTTGTTAGTAGTTCTTTAAATACTAAAATAACAACAGAAACACCATATAATGGCAATTATAAGTTATCAGAACAATTCTAAAGCAATTGCGGAAGTTGGAAATATATGAGAAGTACAGACTTCAGTTATCAAAACTGCAAACCTGTAGAAAAACAGTATCACAGTAAATGAATCACACCAAATCTGCTTGGTATGTTGCTCTATCAAAGTAAGTTTTAAAAGAGTCTTTAATCTGTTAAGTATTTTAGTATTTATCAATAAAAGATTTCAGTTATCAATAAAGGCATAAATTAAAAATACTTTTTATGGTCAAGTCAGATTTTTATTTAGATCTAATCTATGCTTTTACCACATATGCTTTCTTATGATGTTTGAAATACTGAAAAAAAGACCAAAAGGAGAAAAATGAAAGTATGCAAAATACTTACCAAATAAATTGGTTTTCACAGTGATAGATAAATGTGTGTTATTTCTAAGAATTTCCATGGCTTTTGACAGCTGAATATTTTCAAAGTTTTGGCCATTTACTTCTAATATCTAAAAATGAAATTATAAAATTAATGTATCAAAAAAAAACAAAAAAAAAACAGACACCAAAATTAAATCTGAGATTAGAAATAGCATACCTGATCCCCCCGTTTCAAGCCTGCTTCGGTTGCTTTGCTACCTGAATCTACACTGTCAACAAAGATTCCAAATCCCTTCTCAGAGCCTCCAAGTAAGATAAAAGGCAATGGAGCTTCTCGGGATGGTTTTGTTAACGTCATCAATCTTCTTTTTGCTTTAGCAGCACATGCAATATTTAACAGCCTTAGGTGTCCACCCATTTTCTATAAGAGTTCAGAAACAGTCGTGTCAACTCAAAAACAGGCTGAATAAAATGAACTTGAAGCTGATCTTAAAACAAAAAACAAAAAAACAAAAAACAAATATTACCTCTCTTTCCAGATTATTTTCAAATTCTTCTAAAAATCGAGTCATTGCAGGGTCTCCTTCAAAGTCATTGAAGTGATTATTTACCCACAATAATACTACCCGTGTAACCTGAAAAACCAATTATTTTAAATAAATTTCCTTTTTAGTGCCAAAAATGTGATTAAAGTCATTCCAGAAAAGATATCCAACTTTCAAACATTTACCTAATAATAATAAATAGGAAAATAAATGAACAATAATAAAATCTTCCATGAGGATGACCTTCTGAAAATATATTTTTTTACTCTGAATATAGACTTCATGTTGCCTTGCCAGGAATGGTTCTGAGTCTGAGGGTATTTAACATAAAATTTGTCTAACTTTCAAAATGCATTTGAAACAGATCAGAATAAAAGAAAGGTATAATAAAACCAAAATCAGCTAATACAAAAGACAGAAACTAGAAACTAAAGGTAGAAAAACTGACTAGACAAAGAGAATGAACACTTTTAAGCCTAGAAAGCTCTGTAAGGGTACAGAATAGAAAAGGAAGGAGATAAGACAATGTAGTTTATCATCCAATCTGTCCTTAGAGCTCTAGGTGGTCCCCTTAGAATTACAATCCTAGGGCCTACAGAGAGTGATGACTGTCATGAAATGCTGCTCTGGTGCCAATTTAAAAATTGTGACTTTTATCTGGTGTACACTTTAATACCAAACTAGGAAATGCAGATTCCTATGGAATCTAGATGTTTATGTTTTAACATACTCCCAACAGAACTTTAAAAATGTTTAAACATTTGGTGGCCAATTTACTGGCCTTTGCATTTAAAGAAAAAAGACATTTCTGAGCCTGAACTAATATTCAGTATCTTTTTTTTTTTTTTTTTTTGCTTAAGTACATTCTTGTATTTCATTACATTAATCTGGACATAACTGCTGTGACAAATTTAAACATTAAAGTATCTTTAGGTTTACATTTTAACATTCCATATTTAACAGCCAAAACAGAATATATTTCCAACCTTATCCCTGAGGCTCGGGTCATTAAACCACTCCAATAACTTTTTGCCCACTTCCATTGGGCTAGAAAGAAAAGTTCTATAGGTCAACAGAAAGTCTTCTATGAATGTTGGATCTACTACTGAATGCTCTTCCACCAAATGCATTGTTAACCTTTCTGAGGTGCCCTGTAACAAAGAAAAGGTTTAATTAATATACATATATATATATATATATATATATAAAACATTTATATGGGACCGGGATTTCAAACATTCAACATAAAATGAACTGGGTAGTAATATAGTCAACAATTAATGAAGTTGCTATTCATCAGGAGATCATACATAAAGACTTTTCACAACTGATAACCTTTAAGAGATATGCTTAAAAATGAAAACATCTGAAACTGCCACAACCGATACTACCAAAAACATTCCTTTCCTTGGGAAGGGGGAGTGGTCCTGTGTCCTACCTTGATGACAATGTGTCCCTTTCTTGTTCCAGTTCGATCAAGTTCTCGGTGTTCTTTCACCATAACAATCTCTCCTTCCTCTTCAACTTTTTGCATGTTCTTTTCTACTTGGTTGAGAATACGGCAGTAATCTTGCTGGGCTATGCAGACAAACTGGAATAAAACATAAGTCACATGTTAATGATAAAGTGCTTGCAAAAGACCTAGCAGTACTAATAATTCAGTTTTAATTATTTAAAACTGACATTTTTCCCTGTCTTTCCCATACTTTCTAAATTAATGCTGTAATGAACCTTAATCAGACATCTCTACTTTTAATGTATTTCTCCCTTGGTCAAGGAAAGTTTCAATTTTAGAATATTTATATGTATTTTATATCCAAAATCCTAACAATTTTAAAAATCAAAAGAAAAAATTTAGAACAGTGCTTTTTCATGCTCCTTTCACAATTAAAAAAACATTGCAGTGGGGGGAGTGGAATTGTAGGAGAATAGATGTAAAAATTTAATTATCATTTAGTGAATTAAGATACAGACATTCAAAGATACCTATGGAGTAGATATATTAATTTGCTAATTATACTGATGAAACATCATTTTAGAAAGCTTGTTAAAAGAAGGTCAAAACACAAACCACGTATGTGTTATAGCTCAAATAATTTTCCTTATAACTGGTATTAAGGGTAATCCTTGTTCTTAAAGAAAAAGTTAACAATAATGCATATCAAGTCATTACTTTCCCTGACCCCAAATATAAAAAATTTCAGGGCTTAGGGCAAACCACTTAAGAAATTACATTTCTTAGTAGATTTAAAGAAAGTTAATGAATGAATGATAGAAATCACTTATTATACAAATTAACTAGAGGTCAGTGAGGAGACAAGAGATCATCTGGAAATGGAAAGCGGCATGGTATTTCTTTTTCTCCTTTAGTGTGAAGAAGATGGAAAAGGCGATGATTAAATTACATTGTAAATAAGATAAAACATGATGCAACCACCTGAAATCATGATTTCATAGGGTACTTACAGCTCTGATAATACATTATTCTTTTTATGTTGCTCATGTTACATTAATTTTTAAAAAGATACAATACTAAATATTTTAATAATCATAATGACAACATCTGCATCATCACCACCAACACCATCATACTGTGGCAGCCTTATGGAACTTTTTCAATTCATCCTTCTAATCAAACCATGAGGAAGGTGCTATTATCACCATTAGACAGAGGAGTAAACAGCCCGATGTCTCTTAACTACATGTTGGCTATTTTAAAATAAATTATACATGCACATCAAAATCTTGGAGGGAAATAAACTATTAATAGTATTTCTGAGCAATGCAAATTGTGAGTGACTTTCATTTTATTTAATGTCTTTCTATATTTTTCATGCTTTCTGCATGATCAATAGGTTTGTTTTTTAAGTAGAAGCAGCAGTTCATAAGAGGAACACCATATTGCAGGATCACGTTTCTCCCAGAGTTGGCTAATCTCACCAATTTTTCTATTAAGCATTTTGAAGAAAAAGTTAAAAATTAAAAGATGAAGTTTTTTTTGTACTAGTAATTATGCATACTTTAATTACTTTAAAAATACCTTTAGAGCTCTGATATTACATTTTTAAAATATTGCTTATAGTATTATGCTAATTTTATAAACTGTTAACATTATTTCTGAGTAATTTCCTTAATACTGACCATAGATGTGTAACGTTTCGAAATATATGATCCTTAGTTTCTTATCTAAAAAATATTTTATTTCTTTGTACACATCAACAAAATTATTCCCAAATACATGTAAGAGATTTAGAAAAGTTTTATTTCCAGATAATTTTAGGTGTTCTTTCTTATGCTCAGTTTTAGAGAACATAATTAAATACTCATTTTCTCATTTATCTTCTAAAAAAGAAATATATCCCTGAATTCAACTGAATAAGTAGATACAAGGGGAAAATGTTTTTTGAAGAGAAATGTACTAAAATTAATCTTCTTGACTAAAGATTTTTTTAAATTAGAATACATTTGATTTGAAATTCTTAGCGTCTAGACAGACATTTTGGCATTTCTTCTGCAGCAAGCTGAAATACCATCCAAAAAAAAAAAACACAAAAACTGAATTTCTAATATGGTCATACAGAACTGGTACCTAAAGAGAAATACATTTTAGATGAAAATATTTATCTTTTTAAAATAAGCAACTTATTTTTGCTACAACAAATTTATAGATCTAACATGAAATTCACAGGTAACATTTAATTTTAACTGGTATGATGAAGTCAGTTGAAAAAATCTTTGTTTTTTATTTTTTGAGATAGAGCCTTGTTCTACTGCCCAGGCTGGAGTGCAGTGGTACGATCTCAGCTCACTGCAACCTTTGCCTCCTAGGTTCAAGTGATTCTGTTTCAGCCTCCCGAGTAGCTGGGATCACAGGCGCCTGCCACCACATCTGGCTAATTTTCTTTGTATTTTTGTAGAGACGGGGTTTCATCATGCTGGCCAGGCTGGTTTCAAACTCCTGACCTTGTAATCTGCCTGCCTTGGCCTCCCCAAGTGTTGGGATTACAGGCGTGAGCCACTGCGCCTGGCCTGAGAATCTTTGAATTGTTTTACTGAGGTTTTAGATTTCTGTAAATCTCATGCGTTTCAGATTGCTGTAAACCCATGAAAGTACTGTATGATCTCAGTACCCTGATATGAAATAAAGTCAATGGCAGTTTATATCATAGGATTATTTTCCTTTGGGCATGACATTATAATTTGTATTTAAGGAGAAACATTACAGATGATAAATGAAGTAAAATTAAACTTCAATCCACATATAGTATAATCAATTTTCAATTTATCCACAGCAAACTGTTTTCTCATCTAAAACTGCTTCTCACATTCTAAGTACAATTAGCTCCTATGATTCCAGGAAGAGGTGAGTCTAACACAGATTTGCTTTAAGAGGTTGGATCTATTTAAACTGGCACTTTCCAGTCTGTGAGGGAAAATTCCTACCTAATTGTTCACATAGGTATCCAAGTGTTCATTCCCCACTTGAAGGGTGGAGGGTAGGGCTAAGCAATGCCTGGGTGTCACTGGCAGGCCTCAAACACAGGCAGTGGAGAAGGAAAAAAGGGAGAAGAATAAAGGGAGTAAGAGGGCAAAAGAGGAAATGAAGAAATGGAAACAGGAGAAGGGAAAAAGAAAAGAAAGAGGTATATGTGGGTAATGGAAAACCATTACAAATTGCCTAGTACCACAGGATGTGTTTATCAAGCTCTGAACTTTGTCGTTTCACACCAGACAGGGAATAAGAACACACTGAAGAGGGAGAACTGGAAGAGAACACAAAGAAGGGACCCAGAACAAAACATGAGCTTGTCCATGTCATGGGATCCAAACAAATATATCTTAAATTTAATTCATCCATCATTGTATTCTTAGGCGTAACATGAGCTCAACCATCTTATGACAGTAAACAATATTTATTTTGGAACTCCCTGAAATATAAGATAATGAGGACAAAGCCTAGGTGAAGTTGCTTTTTTCTTGGTAAAGACAGCATCATTTTTGCTCAATTCACTCAATAACTTGCTTCCCTACAATATGGTCAGTAAAATGAAAGAAACACACGGAAGCTATTTTATGCACAAATAAAAACATGGTTCTGTTTCCTTTACTTCTCCTAATAAGGAGATGATCTAACATTTGTATTTTCTGACAGATATATGACATTTTAACAGAAATACCTTAAAATGCTGTCCCAGGCAAGCACTTACATTAAAATGTCAAAATTAGTTCTCCATCCCTGTTTAAGAAATTCTTTAGGGTTAAAATGCCAGGCTTGAGCAGACAGGTGGGTAGAAGTATAGGAAGGAAATCCCTGATTAACATATTCCTTTTACAGTGGTGTAGAGTGTAGTAGAGAGGAAGACACGGACTTCTTGTAGCAGGCACCTCACCCTTGATGCTCTTCATAATTAACTTCACACTAGGAGCTATAGAGTCTACATATCTTAATTAGAGTTTCCTTTTGAATTGGACTCTACCTTACTGACTATCCGGGTTTCCCACTAATCCCTTACTTTGTAAGTAAATTAGACTCTCTTCCCTAATATAATCCCTACCTCCTCTTCCTTTTCCAGAACTCCCAGATAAATAGTTAAATGTTACCTGGTACATTTGACATGACTTAACCACTCTGTAATATTCACTCATATAACATTTCAATCAATTATCCTGAAACATTTCTATGCTGCCTATCATTTCAGTCTCATAAAATTTCTAACAAAGGACTTGAATAACTAAGAGGTGTTAATGTAATGGCTCAACTCTCAAAAAGAAGTAACTTTTACTTGCCCTTTAAGGACACACACTCTAACTCAAACACTATTGTAATTCCACTTTGTAGAAGGGTTCAGGGAAGAACTGAGATAACAGGAGACAGGAAAAACCTTTACTAACTTGCTAGCTTGTTTTGACTCAGTTTAGTTTTTTTCATTTTTTTTTTTAAAGTACAATTCCAGAGCTGAAATAGCATATATAATTTCCTTTAAATGCACATTACTGCTAAATAAAGACTTCAATATTCATCATCTGTTTTCCTCTATTATACAACAGAACTGAGAATATACCATTTTGTTTTCCTCTATTACACAAAATAATTGAGAAGTAAGTATATTGAGAATGCTTTTCTGGCATTACATATTTAAAATACTGAATTCATAGCCTTATTATTTTTTTTTGCTCTCTGGTGCTCATGGAAGGAATTAGCTGGTGGAATTATTTAGAAGCATTTAAAAACAGACTAGAGAAAAAGGCCAAATGTGAAACTAGATTTATTTAACTGGCAACCACTATATTACAAAGAAATACATTTAAGACGCTTTTGTTATTATTAGATGCTTATAATTTATGACTTATCTTCTAAGGTAAGTAATTTTATGTATAGCCATGATCATTTTTCTTTTTAGTAAGTAAAATGCTTAAAAATGAGTATTTCAATGAGTGATACCATTTTACATTGATCATATACCATATTCAATTGTGTTATTTTAGAATAAACTACTTTCAGATGTTTTCCAAATTACAGACTAATAAATACAGTGACAATTAGTCTAAGCCACATCATTTGGCTATTTACACTTAATTTTCTTTCACAGACAAATTCTTTTAGAAGATAAGTCATAAATTATAAACACCTAATAATAACAAAAGCATCTTAAATGTATTTCTTTGTAATACAGTGGTTGCCACTTAAATCAATCTAGTTTCACATTTGGCGTTTAGTATTTTCTCTACTCTATTATTAAATGCTTTTAAATAATGACTATTAATACAACATCAATACTGATACTATTTCTCTTTTGCTATCAAGTATTTTCTTTTTATTAGCTATTATTTAACTAGCAAGTCACTCTACAGATTCATACTATGATTAATTTCCATGACTCTTCTAAAATCAATTTCTTATATATATTTAAATAAAAACACTGCATAACTATTCATATCACCTTTATTAATAATTTACCTTCATAATGTGCATTTTACTTCCATATTTTGATAATAGATTATTATCAGTGATGGCAATTTAAAAATACCATACTCACATTTTTTTAAAATCAAACACATAGTTCTCTGTAGTTCAAGTAACTGTAATGAAGATTAATTTTAATTTTTTCTGGGTTGTTACAACACTAAAAGTAATAGTTTCACATTAACATTTTATTGGTGCTGGGCATGGTGGCTTATGCCTGTATTCCCAGCACTTTGGGAGGCTGAGGAGGATGGATCGCTTGAGGTCAGAAGTTTGAAAACAGCCCTGGGCCAATATGGTGAAACCCGTCTCTACTAAAAATACAAAAATTAGCCAAGGTGTGGTGGTGAGTGCCTGTAATCCCAGTTGCTCAGGAGCTGAGGCAGGAGAATCACCCAAACCCAGGAGGCGGAGGTTACAGTGAGCTGAGATCATGCCACTGCACTCCAGCCTGGGTGACAGAGCAATACTCCATGTCAAAAAAACAAAATTATTTGTAACATATTTATATAGGAAGTAAAATCTCATCAAAATGGCATGTAAGTATTCTTTATTAAGAATGAAATATATATTTTTATGATATTTATACCTGGCAGTCATCCACCTTTGTTCTCATCACTCCTTTCATGTATTCTTTGTCCATGGTAGGAGAGACACCAAAACTATTTCCCATACACAGTATTTCTGCTTTTCCATCTGGATAAGTCACTTCCACAGATCCATTGAGAATCACTGACCAGGAGTCCAGCTAATCCAAAAAAATAAAGACAAAGCAGAAAGTAACATCATAATTATACAGATGTTTATCAGTATGGTCCCTAAATATGAATTAGCAGATCTTCCAAGTTTAGAGATAAAACAAGTAACTCAAGTGAAGGTCACCGTTTAACAAGTTCACAGAATAAGGAATAAAACACAGCTACATATCTACCTACTTCCATATGCCTAGCACAGAATGCATATCATAATGTCCTTTGAATTTGACTTTGCATATTCTCCTCTAAAATGACAAAAGGAAAAAAAATTACTCTGTCCCCCCAAAGCTCATGTAGACAAGATAAAATGATCATTGCCTCAGTAAGAATATCATTTGGTCTGACAAAAGGCATTATTATAGTTATGAACATTTAAGTTGCAAAAACTGAAAAGTTAATATATCAAAAAATTTCTATTTGCATAAAAATTCTGCAAATGATGGGAAATATGATGGATTTGGAATACAGTGACTCATATGGTTTGGCTCTGTGTCCCCAATCAGATCTCATGTTGAGTTATACTCCCATAATTCCCATGTCTTGTGGGAGGGACCTGGTGGGAGATAATTTGAATCATATGGGTGGTCTCCCCCATCCTGTTCCGGTGGTAGTGGATAGGTCTCACAAGATCTGATGGTTTTATCAGGAGTTTCTACTTTTGCATCTTCCTCATTTTCTCTCTTACTGCAGCCATGTAAGAAGTGCCTTTTGCCTCCCCGCCATGATTCTGAGGCCTCATCAGCCATGTGGAACTGTAAGTCCAATTAAACCTCTTTTTCTTCCCAGTCTTGGGTATGTCTTCATCTGCAGCATGAAAACGGACTAATACAGTAACATAACAGGTGTATCATAATTCTTGATTTATTCAAACTTACTATTGTTGGGTATTAAAAAAGAAAAAGCAAGAATTTGGGTTTTGTTCAATTGCTATATTGAGATATCTTTAAGAAGAAACTTTTTAAGTGGTAGGAATATTTATTCACCTCTTCACCATCATTTAACACTATGGTCCCTGCTCTTTCCACCACTGCGAACACCATCACGGCACAGAGTTCTCGCCTCACCGACATTGTCATATTGGCAAAAGCAGGCAACTGGTGCATAAATTCCAAGAGTTGTTCTGAAAAGCAAAAGACATCTTTTGTCAAAACTACAACTTTTATTAAAACTAAGTATTCAAAAAGCATGATTTAGGGTCCTTTCTTTTTAAATGCCCTACAATTTTGCTTATTGAAAAATACATCTCAAGATCTTTAGCACCAGTTGAACTTCTTGCAGGTACACAAAGAATTCTGTCGCTGTGGAAATCATGCCTCTTACTTGTTGAATTAGAGGCAACAGTTTACATTGTAACTCCAGTTCAAATGCCACTAAAGATGTTACTAAACTTCAAATGGGAAATTTCAATTGTAAATGAAATATAAGGCTTATTATTAAGAGTGAAAATGAAAGGCAGCTCAGAATTCTCCAACAAGTCAGTCCATTCCTGCACCTTTTGGGCAGGTGGATGCCTAAAATAGTCAGCAGAAATAACTATTTAATTCAAAAACATTCTAAGGAATATTTTCCATGGACCAAATCCATAAAAACCGATCTATTAAAAAATTATAGGCAAAAAAGGAAGTTTACTCACTCTCCCTTCTTATTGGGATGCTGTGGAGAAAGAGCTTCTACCTTGGTATGATGCTAGCTGTTGATGTCACAGTCTCTTCAAGTCCTGGGTTTTCTATTTTTAAAAGTTCTTTGTTTCCCTATCATTCAATAGCTTTACTAACTATGTACCAAGTTCTTTCCTTACTCCTCACCATGGCTCTGTGAAGTGTATTTTCCTTTTAATTTTGTAGGGAGGAAACCAAAGCTCAGCATCATATAATTAAGAGATGGCAAGACCAGGCGCGGTGGCTCATGCCTATAACACCCAACGTTTTGAAAGACTAAAGCAGGAGACATGCTTGAGCCCAGGAGTTTAAGACCAGCTTGGGCAACATAGCAAGACCCTATCTCTATAAAATATTTTAAAAATCAGCTACATGTGCTGGTATGTGCCTATACTCCCAGCTACTGAGGAGGCCAAGGTGGGAGGATTACTTGTGCCCAAGAGTTTGAGGTTATAGTGAACAGTGATTGTGACAATCCACTCCATCCTGGGTGAAAGAGTGAGACTCTGACTCTTTTTAAAAAAGAAAAAAAAAAGGTGGCAGTGACATGATTCAGGACCATCTGCTTCCAAAGGTCATGCTGGACTTTAAAGGTAGTGGTAAAGAGCACAAGGTATATACTGGACATTATTACTTTGGGCAAGTTGATTAATTTACCTAAGTTATAGCTTTCTCACTTAAAAGAAAAATACAATATCTACTTTACTGGATGGCTATGAGAATAAAATGCAATAAAGGTGATAAAAGTCCATGGTACAGAGTAAATAATAAATGAGAACTGCTATTATTGTCATTATTATAATAATCGATATCATTCAAACTTTCAGCTAAATAAAAATTATACTAGATGTTTCTTGTACATACCAAACATTCCCTATGTATAGTCCTACTATCTGTTAAGATTTAGTGACAAATTTTATGTTCTTGGATATAGTTTGTTAACTGCTAAAACAAAGTACAACAGAAAGATATATGCTGTGTATATATTTTCCCGGATGCAACATTTCTGGAAGGACAGACTGAATGGTTTTCTCTGGCCCAGTTGGGCAATGGCATGTTCTGATTGGAATCTATGTCATCCCTCCTACATAAGATTTTTCATTACACAGGGGGGCTCTGGCAATAAGGAAAATGATAATGACAGGTGTACCCAAAGATTCTGTCCGACAGTGTTCTGCAACCTGACTCAAATTTATGTGTCAGGAAATCACTTTACTTTTGCTGCCAGTATTTTTTAAAAAAGAAGTTAAACTATCAAAGCACATCATATAAAGGAAGAATACATTCTGTTTCGTGAAACTTTTATTTCTAGAATGAGTAGGAGTGTCTGTGCTGTACCATAAAATATATTTATTCCTGGAGAAGCAGTAAAGCAATTCTGAATACCACTGCAAGAGATGACCCATATCTATCACATATGGGAGGCAGGGAATCACTGTTTTACCAATGCATTGACCTTTTGATTTGAGTCATAAAGGCAAATGAACAAGTCATGGTCCTCTGAAGCACATCCCAGTTAGTTCTGCTGTTTCCAGCCTCTGTTTTCTTTAGCCATCATCCCTCACCCCTCACCATAAAGTATGACACTATTACCTACAGACCATGCATTTTACTTTTTCCACCTCTAGTAGTTGCTAAATTTCGTTGGATAAGCAAACATTTTAAGAAATGTTTTAAGAAAAATCTGGGCCAGAAATTGTCAGAAATGTTTTGAATTTAGTATCTGATTAGATAATAACAGAAGTCAAATAATTACCATATATATAATCAGAAAACAAAAAGAGGGCAAAAAATACAATGTACCTTCACAAGTATTTGTTGCAATAATTTTAAAGCGCTTTGTGTAGACATACTGCTTGCTTTTTGGCAGACTCTTACTCTATTAGTGGGTCATGAATTTAATTTGTGATATATGTGTAGTGGCTAGGATTAAAAAAATAGAACAGGATAGAAAATAACTGTGAATCACATATTATAAGAATAAAGAAGGCAGAAAGATCTAATAGTAAATGTACAAAATTATCCAGGCTCAGTTGAAAAACCAGAAATACATAAATGTTAAACCAGATGGCATGTAAGACTTTTTAAGATTTTAAGAATTCAATAATGGTATCACTGGTTTTGTGATACCTTCCATGTTATATTATACTAGATGATTGGAGCAATTTTAAAAAATAAAGAACTATTTCATAACCAATCTTGTGGGTGTGTGTACACACACACACACACACACACACACACACACACACACACGAAACAAAAGCAGTGGCTATAGGGCAGCAGTCTCCAACCTTTTTGGCACCAGAGACAGGTTTCGTGAAAGACAGTTTTTCCATGGTCAGTGTGTGAGCCTGGTGGGTGTGGTGGGATAATTTTGGGATGAAACTGTTCTACCTCAGATCATCAGGCATTAGAGTCTCATAAGGAGTGCACAAACCTAGAACCCTTGCATATGTAGTTCACAGTAGGGTTTGCACTCCTACGAGAAACTAATGCTGCCACTGATCTGACGGGAGGTGGAGCTCAGGTGGTAATGCTCCCTCACCTTCTGCTCACCTCCTGCTGTGCGGCCCAGCTCCTAACAGGCCAGGCACTAGTACTAGTCTACGGCTCAGAGGTGGAGTCTCCTGCTAGAGGGGGCTCAAAACTCTGACAATGCCACAGGTATCATACGGACTTAAATAGCTTAGGGTAGCCAAGAATTCAGAGCCTGGGATAGATACTAGGACAGTCCCCAGGACACATGAAAAGAAGCTATGGATGACAGAAACAGGACTACTTTCCATTGTATTTCTTCGAACAAAATCTATAGAATTATACACTTACCTATTAGAATGATACTCTGTTGCCACCTATCTAATGTATATGGGAAAATATTATGTTTTAAAAACATTTTATTGACAATGTACCATTTAAAAAAACAAATAATTAACTTATAGATACCAGAAGACAAAGCCAATTCAGAAAATTAGCTTATCTTGGTTTTGCTTGATACAATTTTATGTAAGAAATGTTTTTATTAAATTTTTTTTAACAAACCTGAGGTTTGCTAAAAGATATTAAAGTAGTCCTTGTGTCAAGCCCTCAAAACAAAAAAAAAATTTTTACAACCATTTAATAGTGGAATACTGACAAAATTATGCATTCCAGGGCAAAAATTAGTATGATAAAGTCCCTTCCATCAAAGTACTGAAACAAAAGTATACCCAAGAATCTATCAGAACCCAAAGGGAATTTTTTTTTTCCTGCAGCTGGTAAAAGTATGTTCAAATATTAGCAATTTCATTTGATTCACCTTAAACACTCACGCATGCACTTATGTGCTTGCATACACAAAATCTCTCCTCTTTTTTTGCAGGGAAGAGGAAGTTGGGTTGGAAGAGAGACATCTAAAGAAAACATCAACCATACAGGTGTTTGTATTTTATATAAAGGTGTCTAATTAAATCCTGGAGGATGAGTTACATTTAACAAGAGCTAACAGTTCTCACACATTTTATTTTCAGGGAAGTAGAATACAAAATCTTTCAAGATCTTACATGGAACAAACAACACCCTTTAGGACTTCTCTGTTATGTTAGTGATTACTTTAAATAAATGTATATTTGATAGATGCAAGCATGACAATTGTCACTGCTTGCAAGTAAAGTGGTATTCAAATAAATGTTACTCACTGTAGGAATTATATTGACAAGTATTTTCTTTTTTTAAAAAAAGATGGCTTTGTATTTATTTATAGGAATCACCATGGCTGCTGCTTTCTAGAGATTCTGGGAGAGAGGGCTTCTCAGATATCAACTGAAAGTCTTAAATTTCCAGGAATGATAGACATGCTACATATATTTTAATAATCAGCATTTTCTTCCACAACTATTTTAAAATGAACAGATTCAAAAAAGATATATTAGTTTACAAAATGATAAATTCCAAATCAATCTATTCATAAGTAAGTTCCATTTAATTTTTTTTTAAAAAGCACCTATGAGCAAAGATTCCGAATTGAAATTGTAAACTGAATACACCTCCAATTTAACTTTTTCCTTAAAACTACAGGGGATTAAAAAGAAAGAAATTGACATGGACAAAGAATGAGAATGTGAAACGCAATTCTGGACACTGGAAATCAGCTGAACATGTGGTATCGGACCCAAGAAGGCAAACAAGGAATGGGAGAGTGAAACCCATTTTTATTTTTTTTAAGACTGGGTTTCACCATGTTGGTCAGGCTGGTCTTGAACTCCCAACCTCAGGTGATCCGCCCGCCTTGACCTTCAAAGTGCTTGGATTACAGGCGTGAGCCACCACGCCCAGCCGAGTAAAACCCATTTTTAGAAATTGTGAATCAGATCAACATGCAGTATCAGAAACATGAAAAGTGCAAACCTAAGTCTTCAGGGGGTGAAACAGAACCATTCCACTCAGGCCACTCCCCTGCTTCCATCACCCAGTCTCCACTTTACTCTTCTTCATTGCACTCACTGCCTGCAATGGGTTTACTTGTTCACTAGCTGATTACACGTCTCCCCTAATACTCTGCAACAGAGCAAAGATTTCTTTTGCCCTTGTTCAGCACTGAATGAGTTGCCAGGACCTAGAAAACTGCTCCGTGTTTAGAGGGTGCTCACCTACAGTAGCTGAATGAATGAGTAATAATTACCATATGATATTCATCTATAAACAGCAATTCCCATAGATTATTTCAATTAAATTGTGACTGTCTAATCTAAGGTTTTGCTTTTTGCTTTAATTTCCTAGTATATGTAAATAGCTGAAATGGTGAAAGTTTTTCCTCAAACATGTTTGTGTCACTCAAACTCAGGCAACAAGCCACTCTATACCGTCCTATATCTAATTCCAACAGAGTTAGTTCACTTAATTGCTCTTCAAATACGTATTGGCCCAAGAATTGGGGGAGTGGTAGAATAGATAAATGGAGCTAAGGTAAGGGTGACTACGAACCCTGGAACTCTCGTGGAAAGATGACTCTCAACAGAAGCTGCTCTCATTTCTGGTGTTCTAAGGAACAAGCCAGAGTCTTAGAGGCATACTCAAACCCAAAACCATTACTACACAATCAGCTCTTGCTATGATGAAAAGGTTAATATAAAGCTACTTAAATTTTTAACCTCTGGGTACACTTAAAGAAAGTCATTGCAGCAAAATTCACAATAGCAAAGACAAGGAATCAACCTAAATTCCCATCAATGATAGACTGAATAAAGAAAATGTGGTACATAAACACTGTGGAAAACGATGCAGCAACAAAAAGAGCAAGATCATATCCTTTGCAGGGACACAGATAGAGTTGGAGGACATTATCCTTAGCAAACTAACAGAGGAACAGAAACCAAATACTGCGTGTTCTTACTTATAAGTGGGAAGTAAATGAGGAGAACACATGAACACATAGAGAGGAACACACACTGGGGTCTTTTGGAGGGTAGAAGGTGAGAGGAGGAAGAAGTTCAGGAAAAACAACCAATGGGTCCTAGGCTTAACACTTGGGTGATGAAATAATCTGTACAACAAACCCCCATGACACAGGTTTTCCTATGTAACAAAACTGTACTTGTACTCCTGAACATAAAATAAAAATTAAAAAAAGAACAAAAACAGCAAAAGAAAGTCTCAACCATCACACAGCCCATATGCCACTAATCCAACATTCTGCTGTCTCCTTCTACCCACTTGCATCTTCATACGAAACCAGAGTAGAAGCAAATTCATTTACATGACAATTTTATCAACTGCCTTTTATGTTTACATACAAAAAACATGAGCTTAACAAAAACAGTGTTCAAGAAAAAATTAATAGAAGTAATACTGCTTGAAAGGCTAATTTTAACTTTTTTTTTTCTCATCATAAACTAAGCTTAAGAAAGTAGTTATGTGGAAAGGATCTACTAAGAAGTTTCATTCCTATTATTATTTGTAGACTCCTGAAGATAAGACTGAGTAAACCTGGTTTTTTCCAATTTTTATTCAAGAAATACTACTGTTTATAAATGAAATTAATAAATTAATGACTTTTTAAGCCTACTAGTCTTGGGCTCTATTTCATTGGACAATTTTACCACTAAATATTTTTAATTGCTCTTGGATTCATTTTCTTAGTCAAGCTTACCAATGTCATCATCTGTCCGGTCAATTGGGTCCTTCTCTAGGCAGTCTCTCACAATGTCCCTACTCATCAGAGGATCTGATGCTCTCTCAATGTCTTCTTCATCATCGTCATCCTCGGAATCCACTGCTGTTTCTGGCAACCCACTCAGGTCCATATCACCAGCCTCGCTTTCCGTGGCCTTAAGACACACACACACAGAAATAAACTATTTTAAGTAAATAAATCTTTGGGGCCCAAAAAAATAAGAGCAAGCCTCATTAAAAATAATGCTTTTGTTATATTTATTTTTCTATCCAACAATCATTTATGCACCGGAAACTATATATAACAATTACTTTAACAAAATATGAGTGATTTCGCCTCCTATTAAACTGGTCAGAAATAATATAAAAGTTAATATATGAATATATTTAATATATTAATATTAAAGTGTTCAGAAATAATCACTTTATCTCAGTAATTTTGATTTCCTATCTGAGTTGTCATGTGGCATTTGAAACACAGAATACAGAAGAAAAAGACAATATTTGTTTTCACTCCATTTTTTCAAAGAGAATGGCTTATACTAACAGCTTAGGGATGACAATTAATTCTGAGCAATTCCTTTTGCAGAATAGGTGTGAATTTATTAATGCCAAGAAGACTGGACCATTTCTCTCCTATTAGATAGTCCTTATGGGAAAATGAGCCACAAATCAAAGGTAACTTGATAAATATATAAATAAAACATTAACAATTCGTTGGATTATCCCAATGACCACTGTTAAACTGTAAATCAAGAAACACTATAGGAGACCAAATGCTTAAAGGTAACATGGTCTTTCCTCCTATTCATCAACACAGGTCACCACATCACCAAATTTCAAGTTATCAAGATATACACAAATTTTCTAAGTCACTGGAATCACACATTTCAGGATGGTATCTTTTGTTGGGTTAGCTGAATCCTAGAACAGTTATCCTTTTTAGGTCAATATGTAGCCTTTTGTGACTATCATCTCAGTATATATATATCATGTAGATCTTATTTGATATTATTTACCTAGACTTTACTTATCAGTTAAGCATAGTAAAAATGAACTCAATTAAATATTTACTATATCAATCTTGAAGATCATAAGTGTTTTTCCAGATGAAATATCAAAATCTTGAAAACATTATACAATTATTAATTTTGTAGAAAATGTACATTACAAAGTTCATCAACTTCAAGTAAATCATAGCCAATATGATTCCCAAAGATAATAAATACCTTATTTTTAAGATACAAATTTTTCTAAAAAAGAAAGATGAAAATATATTGACTGATAATAAGCTAACACTGAATACTTACAATGTGTCAGGTACTGCTTTAATTAGTATGTATTTATATTAACTCATTTAATCCTTAAAACAACCCTATAAAGTAAGAGCCATTATTAACTTTTATTATCCTCTGAACACTTAGGTGAACATTTTTCCAAGGTCATGCTGCTGACAAATTGTGGATGGAATCAAGATTAGAACCCAGGAATTCTGGCTTCAGACTCTTAACCACAATCTAAACTGTCTCTTTTTAACATTCACTGAATGTAAATGTGGTTTATGTAACGATCTATCCTTTTCCTATAATTTAATATTTACAGAATAAATTGTGTTTTTGTTTCCTTTTTTTTTTTTGAGACAGAGTCTTGCTGTTGCCCAGGATGGAGTGCAATGGCATGATCGCAGCTCACTGCAACCTCTGCCTCCTGGGTTCATGCGATTCTCATGCCTAGCTGGAACTACAGATGTGCACTACCATACCCGGCTAATTTTTGTACTTTTAGTAGAGATGGAGTTTCATCATGTTGGCCAGGCCAGTCTTGAACTCCTGGCCTCAGGTGATCTGATCGCTATAACCTCCCAAAGTGCTGGGATTACAGGTGTGAGCCACTACACCCAGCCTGTGCTATTTTCTTCTCAAAAAAGTTTCACCTTTGTAAAGTCTTGGTTCATATCACAGAACATAAGATTTAATCCTACATTTTGAAATAATACGAGCATGTATTAACAATGAGTTTTAATCATATTTTCTGTTCTTTAGGTACAATTTTCTGAACTAAAATGCATTTATTATTTTTTTAAAAAAACTTAAGGGGAAAATAATTGAAGACAGAAAAACTAATGTTTATAAAAGTTAAATGCCGTGGTCATTGTAGGCAAAGACACACAGGTAGGAGAGCAATAAACCACTGCAGCCCATACCAACAGAACTGTGACACACTGAGAAACACATCTCATAATTTAAACTCAAAATTCGCCGAATCATTTCTAGATTTAAGAAGGAAACTAAAGTAGAACTTGTTGTGATATAGTATGCCAAGGTTGTGGTTAGAGAAAATAGGTCAATATTGCTATCAGTCCCTGACCCTGAAGATAGAAATACAATTTGCTAACGTTTGCTATCATCACATTTTCACCTCAGTTTCATCTTCACACTGAAAATTATTTATTACTCATCACCTTACATTTTCAAAAATATTATCAGTTCTCTATATAAACATTCTTTAATATTAGCATAGAGTGAAAAAAGAACACTACCAAAGACAGAAATTTTAAAAATCTTTAAGTCTGAAACAGAACATACTTATCAACTGTCAACTAGATTTATCTCTCCCAAACTGAACCTTCCTTCCACTTTATTTATGTAAAAGATCACAGTTGCTTTGCTATCTCTATGTGTACTCCATGCTTTAAGAAACAAACTATTCATAAAATAACATTTACTAAACCAAAAATTTAGAGATATTTAAAATAAATATCCATTTAAAATACTACAGATTCCCTAAATCATACCTTTTTAAAGAACTTGATAAATAACTTTTCAGGAACCTACAAATTTCACAGTATCACTGCCCTGTGGACAATAAGATGTTTAGAGACTGAGTGGAGTTAAAAGTTTAATGAACACAAACTGGTCTCCAGGAGGAGTACTGAACTCAAGCAGAGTGCCTAGAATGTAAGATGTACTGTGGGAACAAACTCACAGCTTTGGGGCTCCAAATCTCACCTCTACTATTCACTATGGGATTTTAGCAAAGTCACTTAACCTCCACAAGCCCATCTTATCATTGACGTAAACTGTAGATACGGTTTCTTACTACTCATCGGACTGCTTTTGAATCCAATAAGGGAAAAAGAAAGCCAGTCTCAAGCTAAATCAGAAGTCCCTTCCTTAAGGGGATACATTCTTCATCTTAGTACTTACATACCTTCCACCTCTTCCTGTACCAGCAATGAACCTTGCACACAATTTATATTTGTGGAATTTGACTAAAACCCCCCCAAAATTCTACTAAACATCGCACTCTTCTCATATACTTGTACAATAATATCTTAGACTAACTGTACCAATACATTCTGGCCAACTGGTACATACAACAATTATAAAAATAGTGATCCTATATTGAATGACTATCATATGTCTCTAACACTAAACTTGATGTTTTAAAACATAATAATCTTCACATCAATTCATCAAGTTAGTATTATTAACCCTATTTTACAGGGAAGAAAATGTCGAGGAAATTAAATAAGTTGTTCAACGTAAGCAAAACAAAAGCCAGTAACTGTGCCAGGACTCAAAATCGGGTCTGACTAACCAAGAACTACTAAGTACTCTGCGCTTTGCCCAACATTCTCAATGGACAGTTATAAAGAAAGTAGTTGAAGTATAACACAGTATTAAAATGTTTTCCGCTTTACTAATTCACAAAAGATAAAAACTTTAAATACATATTTGCACATAAATGGAAAACACTTGTTTTCTAGCTTCCCCCAAAAGACAACACTACTAAGACTCATGCCTGTCTTTAAATCCTTTTTTTCTAAACAAAGACACTAAAACAGATACTTTATATTTAAAACTTTACCTGATTATATCTGTCTCAGGAACAAGGAGAAAGGTTTACACAGTTAAGTTAGCCAAATAACTCCTGTCTTCAATTTATCTTATACATGTACAGACTACCATAGATTTTGTTGTCCATTAATATTTAAACAGTAATATTCCTTTAAAAATAATATTCTCAGATCAATACTGAAAGCTCCACAATTTATTTAAATAAAAAGGGACTATATTCTGCTATTGTGAACACAGTTCTTAGAACCAATGTTATATTAAAAAAAAATAAAGAAAATTAACAAAAAAATTTTAATGCCGTAAAGCTCAAGTATTAATTTCATATTTAAGTCCTTATATACTCAATTACTATTATGTTTTAAATACTTATTTAAGGTGGATACATTTGCTTTTCTTTTCTGTAAGTTACCTACTACTGTCCTTTGAACATTGTAACATTGTGAGCTGAGTATTTTTCTTATTTGCATAAATCAGTTACATTTTGACTTTAAATCTTCATATCAATTGATGTTTTAATTACAAAATGTTTTGATCCTTTATTAAAACATTGTTTGGTAACTTTTTAGTTTATCAGGAATTTATTTTAATTATGATACAAAATGAGAATACAACATGACTCTCCGACCCCAAACACCATTTATTGAATTATCCATCACTTTATTGATTTGTGAAGTTTCCTCTATTACATACTACATCCTTACACATGAGTTCCCTTTTGCTTGAACTCTCTGTTCTATTGATCTATCTATTTTTGTACAACTATTTTCGGTTCACCTAAGCCACTCACTCTGACAGACACGCCATTTAACAGGACCTTATCATGGCTGGAATTGGCATTGTCTTGTATCACTAACTTAGGCATTAAAGCTTTCAATCACCAACAACCTTCTATTCTTTCAACCTACTCCCATCTGCTTCCAAGGTAACACTTTTTCAACTTAAGAAGGATCTTTGCTCTTCAAGACTCTACTACCCTCTGTGTCTAGTGTTCACACCTCCTGTTTTAATTCCTTTCATATCCAGTTTATATTTCCTAGTCTATTATTTCAAATACATTCATTCAATACATCTTTACTGAATGCCTAAAATTTCCTGGCACTGTACTAGGCTCTAGGGGAAAAAAATGGAGACAAGTTCCCTGCCTTCTTTAACGTGTCATTCTACTAGGCAGAGACACACATAGAAAGTAATAATTGTTTCAATCAGCGTCTAGGAAGGAAATAAAAAGACTAGGCAGGAAAGGAATAAAAATGGAAGACTTCCTTTACAGAGGGTTATAAAGGAAGAACTCTCTG